CGCCTCCCGAGTCTGCGCGCCGGGCCCGTAGCGCGGCGGCTTTGCCTTGCCGCTGCGTCCGGACCCCAGCACGGGCCGCAGCCGCGCTCTGCAGCGCCGCGGTCTGGACGCGTCCACGCCGCCGTTCCTCCACCGCCGACCTCCGAAGGTCATGATCTGTGCTAGACAGACGCTTAATTTAGTGCAAGACCAGCCCCAAATACCAGGGACAACTTGGCTGGTCATTTTTAAGAGAATGAATTAAATGACTTCCAGAAAAGCCAGAGAGTCTAGTGTGATTCGAAATTTCCTACACAACTGCACTTCTTTGTGTAAGATTTCCTCGCACCCAATACTACAGAGGACTAACCTTGCACTTCTCTCTTTCCGGTCATTTTAATTTACCTTAAAGCCACTTCCAAAATGTCACCGCTCTCAAGTCTGGAGCGCTCTGCTACTGAAACCCCAACTCCCTTGCTATTTTTTAACACCCTGTCCTCCAGCCCCCAGGTACTGGGGATTAAAACCAGGGTCTTTTCTCTGAGCTATATCCCTGGACCCTTTTTGATTTTTTAATTTTGGGACAGAGTCGTTAAATTGGGCAGGCTGGGTTCAAACTTATAGTCCTCCTGCCTCAGCCTCCCAGAGTGTTGCCTTGTCTTAAAAGATGTCTGTAACTTGGTGAGGAAGCCACAGTTTAGCAAAGACAGGCCAGGGTCTACAAGAGCTCCTTCCTGTTTTCCCTGCTGAAGAGAGAACAGGTGGCTCAAGGCCTGCGCTAGGCCTTCACCTGGAGTCCCTGACACTCTTCACCCACTGCCCAGGTCCAGAGTCCACTGACACAGCCCGGGCCCGCGGGTGCCCTTCCTGGGCACCTCAGCTGCCCCGCCTGGTCGTCCTGAGCTGCCCGCTCCTCCAGCCCAGGTGAGTCCAGGAGGCCAGGTCAGCCTGGGCCGGGATAGGCAAGGCCCTGCTGCCCTGCCTGGTGGAGGGAGGACTGCCGGGAGGAGACGCAGTGGAACAGAAGGAACAGAAGGAAGACGCGTGGAGGGCTCGCCTGCCCCCGGTCAGGGTTCCGCCCCCAGTGCCAAAAAATGGACAGAAAACAAGAACTGGAGATCACACTAGAGATCACACAGCTTTTGAAACAGGAATCTGGATTATTTGGAAACTCCAAGGCAAACAGGGGAATGACCTGTCACCAGTTCAGATGGGGGAGGTTCACTTGCCATTCAGGCAGCTGGCGGCGGAGACGCAGAGTCCTGGACTGGGTTAAACATCTTCATTCCGCAGCTCGGCTGCAGTCCATCTGTGTAGCCGCCCTTGCGGCCCCGCTGTTCTCTGCTTGGGGCAGTCCTAGGCTACTTCGCCTATATTTATACCAAAACACACAGTCGTGGCCATGTGCCAGCATGCACCGTGGCTGTGTCAGTTATTTACACTGCGACCAATGAGGTGCCTCTGTGCAGAAGTCTTGTCTTGGACTTAATGTCCACCGGAAGTCAACCCCCAACACACACACACACACACACACCCTGAACCAAAGTGCAGCCATCTTGGGCCTTCACTTTTCCCTACAGGGATACCAGCACACCCTGGCAATCACAGCTCTCTAGGAGGCTGAGGCAGGAGGATCACAAGTTTGAGCCCAGCCTACACAACTTAGTGACTTGTAAGACCCTGAGCAGATGAAGTTAAATACCCAGCAGGTGCAGGGAAAATGTGGCCACAAGTACCCTCCCTGGGACATGGCCAAAGGGAGCCCTAAGGGTGCCTGGTAGGAGGGGCCCCACACTCCCATCCCTAGCAATCTGAGTGACAGAAAGAAAAGAGGACCCCCCCATGGAGGGTCGGCCCCACTGCAGCTGCTCAGAGTGCTGTTTCTCCAGGAGATGAAGCCTCCAACACAGCCTCACTCACCAGGGCAAGTTCAGAACAAGTCTCCAGTTTAGTGGCAGCTTCGGGGCCTCCCCAGAAACACAGGCTGGAGGCCGGCTTGGGCACCACCTGGCATTTCTCTTCCAGGTGGGGATCCCAGTCAGGCACATCCCACTGCTGAGCAGTAGTGACTGACGGCCACAGCCCAGTAATTGTGGCCACAGAGGGACAGTGCTGGACATGCCAGGGGGTGCAGGGGGCACCCACAGGGCTCCCTCAGAGACACAGAGAGGTAAGTATGGACACTGTCTCATTTTTCCTTTTTTCCCCTCTAACTGAATTAATTTAAAGACCACTTTAAATTCAGAAATTATTTCTTCTTGACCAAGTCTGTTGGTGTGGCTCTCAATTGCATATTTTTCTTTCTTCATTGGATTCTCCAGCCACAAAATTTGTTTCCATTTTAAAAAAAATTATATCTATCTCTTTATTGAACTTCTCATTCATATTACAAATTATTTCCCTGCTTTCATTGAATTGTTTGTCTATATAGCTCAGTGAACTTCTTTAGGATCATTATTTTGACTTTTCCAGATATTATATACATTTCTTTTTCTTTGGAGTCTGTTCCTGGAGAGTTATTGTGTTCCCTTGGAATTGACAAGTTTCCTTGCTTTTGCATATTTCCTGTGTCCCTGTGTTACTATCTACACTCTGGTCCAAGATCCCCTTTTCCAGCTTTATGGATATATTTCTCTGTAGGGAGAGACTTACACGTGGATGGGTGTCAGGTGGGTATAGTTTGTTAGAGCTCATCCTAGATAGACACAGTATTGTAATTTTTGTGCAGTTTCTTCTGTAATCTTTGTCAGTGATGTTGGTGGTTTTGTAAGTGGTCTGTGATGTGGGTGTTTGTGATGCTGATATGACATCATTTTAGTGGGAACAAGGCCACTTCCTGGCTCACTTTGAATTGAGCATTGAGACCAGCAGGTGCCATGGGCTGGCAGCAGCTGTATAGCAGGCTCCCCAGTGGGTGAGATCACCATCTGGCTCTTTGTCATGCTGAGCTTGGGTGTGCCTGAGTTGAGTGGGCTAACCAGCTGTGTAGCAGGTTCTCAGGGCAAGGGGGAGAGGGAGCAGGGCCATTGTCTGTGTGGCTAGAGGGAGAGAATCGGGTACATGTGGCCGCCACTGGACAGCTAAGTGTGCAGCAGATTCATTTTTGGGATGGGGAGGCAGGCCTGCTGTCTGCCTGGCCACTGGGCTCAGGTGCACATGGCTGTTGTCAAGTCACTGCATGGTAGGTCAGTAAGAGATGAGGCTAATAGTGCCTGGCCTGTTCTCGTGCTTCATGCAGGCATCTTTGGGTGTGCTGGCTGCTGGCTGTTAGATGCCTCTATGTGCAAGTCCAGCTGATCCCTTGGGTTTAGCATGCTGCATGAGTTTGGAAACCAAAGTCTTGGCTTTGCTGGGCTTAGCCTCCAAGCAGGTAGAATTGTGTTACACTAGCCTCCCATGTGATGATGAAAAATTGACAGTGGAGTCTAAAGCACAGTGGTATGCTGTGGCTCCTATTCCTTAGGGCAGGACATGCTCCAGAAGTGGATCCAGTGTCAGGGTTGTGCCCAGCTGCAGCAGCTTAGATCCTGGCAGTTGCTGGAGGGTATACAATTTGGGCTCCTACTCTGTGACAATACAACCATATGATCTCTGGGGAACTCTCCAAATTGTGTGTGGGTGTGGAGGAAGGACTGTGATTGCTAATAAACCGATTACTGATGGTCGGCTTATGATCCCCAGCCGTGCTGAGTGCACGTGGTGTGGGGTGTGGAAGGCTCGCCCGAGGATGGTTCCCATCAGCTGAGAGGCAGAAATGGAAAGGGATAATGAATTGCTCCTGTTGGTCTGAGTTACGTTCTGGGTTCTAATAAAAGGCGATTGAGATGGGTGATCAGGGATGCTGCAGTCCCAGAGGCTGTGGGCCCCCTGATCCCAGACTTTTGCCTCTTCTGTTTTTCTTATCGTTTACCTTTTCTTATTCATCTGCAGGCACCTCGTTCTCAGGACTTGTCACCACAGTTAATACCAACATGTGGGGCCTGTGAGGTCTGTGGCACGCACCTGTGTAGTCATGAGCTGTGGCAGTGGGGACAGCTGGGGATCTCCAGTTTATGTTTTCCCTGTACGGAGAAGACTATCTCATCTCTGAGCCAGTCCAGGTGGGGAAGAAAGTGTGGCTCGCTCACCTCTCTGTGGTGCTATCTTGGTTTATTGTGCACGCAATAGTCTTACCACTTCCCTGCTATTTTCTGGCTTACCTCCTTAGCCACTCCACTCAGAATTTAGTTATTTACTTTTTGTTGTGATTCCTTTCTGTGGAGAAGACTAGTGATGGGCCACTTTTTTGGGCAATCTTACTACCATAAAAAAAATTTTTTTAAATGACAAGCTATTAACCAATAACACTGATATACAGTACCAACTTAGTTATATTTAAATGTATGTATGAATGTATCTATCCATCTATCTATCTGCTTCTGTTTTGGACTCATTCTTTTCCTTACATATCTGTTTGCCCCATTGACAATTACTGTCTTAATTACTTTAGATTTATAATAAATCTTGATACCTTCAGATTATCTTCTTACCTTGCTCTTTTTCGAGTCTACCTTGGCTATACTTGATCCTTTCCTTGCTCTTATTTGTTTTTAGACTAAACATGCCAATCTCCATGAAAATACCAGCTAAATGTTGATTTCTATTTCCCAGAATCTCTAGTTAAATTTGAGGAGACTGATGTGTCTATAATATTGTTATATTTCTTTTCATTAGCTTGTGTAGTTTTGATCATGACATCATTAGAAGAAAACAAACTCTTTTGCAGGCTAAAGGTAGTAGAATACAAAGGAAAAGCTCTGGACTTCGTGTATTTTACTGTTGGGAAATAGTAAAATTTCCCCAGGCATGAATATACCTTGGGTTCCAGATGCTACTTTTGTCCAGCACTGGGATTAGTTCTGTCCCCAGGAAAGTTGAGGTGAAGAAGCCTGTGGTTCTGCTGCACTTCTTTTTCCAGTCTCGTTCTCTCTCCCTTCTTTCCTTGCGTCTGTTATGTTCCTTATCACCTCTGAACCTTTTGGTCCCAGAACTCTGTTCCTTACTTGTTTGATTCTGTTTCCTCTATTTCCCACTGAGCCCCAATCATCCCTTTCTTATTTTCCTTACCACACACTTAAGAGCATAGGCCACATATTTTGTAGGGTCCAGGGCAAAATAAAAATGTGGAGTTTTTTCTTAGTCCATTCAGGCTGCTGTTACAGAACACCATAGTCTGCATGGTGTATAAACAATAGGAACTTATTTCTCACAGTTATGGAGGCAGGGGCATACAAGACCAAGGCAGATTTAGTGTCTGGTGGGGGTCCATTTTGGTTTATATAGCATAACTTCTGCAAGTATCCTTATATGGTGCAAGGGGTCCCTCTGGGGTCTCTCTCAGAAGGACACCAATCCCGTGCATGAAGGCCACAACCTTGTGTCCTAATCATCTCTCCAAGGCCCCGTGTCCTAGTAACATCACCCCAGGGCATTAGGATTTCAACTAATGAGTTTGGGGAAGACATAAAAATTCATATCAGAGCATGTCTGTGTTTAAAAAAAGTGCTTAAATGCTACTAAAATACAAAATGTTTTAATTTCTATTAAAGTTTCTGTCTCATTACAGTGTTTTGCTTTGCTGCTATTCTTATTTTAATTTATTAATATGACATCCCTTGGGCACAGGGGTTACTCACAGGATGACTGTGTAGACTCTTAGATACCTGGGAGCCCCACACCAGGACTCCAAGCACACGCAAGCTGCCCACCAGTTACTGGTCCTCCTGTCCCCAACTGCCCAATTGATCTGGGCCTCTGCTCAACAGGAGGGGAAAGTTAATCTTTCTTCGGATGACAACCCCAAACCTGGGTACACAGATGACGGCTGAAGAGTTCAGCCAAACTCCGTGGAGATCCACTTGGCACTTGGGACATGTGTAAGCAAGAGGCTCCCCCTGAACAGCTACAGAAATGGACAGCAGTGCAGCCTGCAGGAAGATGGCTTCTGCCGTGTTCTGCCCAGCGTTGGATGTTTGTCCCCACATCTCATTCACCCGTGTGCCTGCCAGGGGTGAGGCAGTGAGTGTGATGGCAGAAGGGTCGTGGCCTGCTTACAAGACTTGGTCACTGCAGTGGTGGCAGTAGTGGTGGGGTGGAAATCCATAGACAGAGTCTAGACTTTCCTGAGGCCTCAGACTGTGGGAAGAAGATGGCAGATGCTGGGGTAGGAGGCATGTGAAGGAGTGGGAGGCAGAAGATCACATAAGCTGAAGAAGCTCCTCCAATCCCCACACAAGTTTCATAAGCATATTGGAGTTCACTTATGAAACACATGTTCAAATGAAATTATGTCAGAATTCAAGGTGGTGACCACAGAGCACTGACTGTGCTGCTGCACTGGTTACACCACCCAGCCCCCACGAAGCCAGCACTGGGTACGTGATACACTGACTGATTCACTACTTTGTGGGTGATTCCAGTTGACTCCTCAAAGATACTTTGACTCTAACCTTTCAAGCTTTGAATCAGTCATATGACCCTGGCTGTCTCAGCCTTCTCCAATCAAATCTGCTGTCTTTCTCCTCAGACAGACAAGATTTGTGCTTGATCAACACAATGTCACATCTCTTTTCCTATCTCCCTCTTCTTTTCATCCTATACTCTACACCACTTTAAGAAATGTCTGTGTGTGCTGGCTCCTCCACTTTCGTTCCAACAGAGCTAATTTTGCACAACTGTGTCCTCTTCTTTACCTTCCTCTAACCTTCCTCTCTGACTTATGAGATTTATGCCACTTGCTCAAAGAACAGCCAATCTTGATGAATCCTACTTCCCTCTCTTCTCCTTATACCCTTTATAATGATCTCTCGATCTCTCTCTCTCTCTCTCTCTCTCTCTCTCTCTCTCTCTCTCTCAATGTGTGTGCTTCCCCTGAGCCCTATTTTATTTGAGTAATGGTGAAGCCTCATGAAGTGCTTTTAAATGGGCCTTTTAAGGATCACAGTATCTGTTTCTAAAACTTTCCCCAAGAACCATTCCATGAGAGAAATTAGGTCCAGAACATCAGGAACACAGCATGCTCAAGCAGAAGAGTTTATCATACTGAAGTTACATTTCACTGGGGGAAACACATATCCGGCCCCAAATTAATCAGTGCCTTAAACACAGTGATTTCAGTAATACAATGAAAAAGCCAAAGGAAGGCTCACAAGGCATAGGTGTTCCTGGAGGCCCTGGGCCCTAACATGGTGAAGACCTGGCACCACTGTTAGGTGGTTGTCTCTGTTTAGTTTGTCTTGAGACCTTCAGGTTTTTCCAAACCTTTACCCTTTGCCTGAACTTTGTATAGGCTCTGGACCTCATCAACAGACTTAGAGGATGTTATATCCTTGAGCTAAAGTTTGAAACTACAAGTTTGTATGGATTTTGCCTATAGCTAACGATTAAAGAGTGAAGGAAAAGGATCATATCTTTGCTTTTCAAGTAGCCCCCAGCTGCCTCAAGTAGCAGGCTGTCTCCAGTCTGCTAATGTCCAACTGCTGCTTAACCCAGGGATTCAGGGTTAGTCCATTATTTACTTCAGCTCTTCTTTTTTGGATCTTATGCTCGAAGGTCAAACAGAATGAAAGTGAAGAGTAAGGATTAAATGCTAGAAGTAAAATATACAGTTTTCCTATTGCAGGACTATTTTATAAGCACCAGTCTACAACTTCTGCTTATATCTCAGTGGATATGATGTTGCTGTTTTCAAATATGTCTCAAAACTCTTGATACTCCTTTTAAGAGAAAGAAGTTTTCTTTTCAAAAGATGACACTTGTGTTAGTCGAATAGTCCTTATAGGTTATGGTTAGGGTACACAGGAGATCTTGGCAGTGACAAGGACATTGCTAAGAACTCTCATACCTGTCCAGTTGGGTGCAAAAGGGGATGTGTGTGTGTGTGTGTGTGTGTGTGTGTGTGTGTGTGTGTGTGTGTGTAGTTTCCTGTGTATACCTGGAAAATAAGAATGCCAGGCTGAATATTCCAGGATACTCAGAGTTCCGGTGTGAGTACCCCTGACTCTAGATCTCTGTGCTCTTCTGAAGATTTTTTTT